GCGAGGGCCAGCCAGCTGAAGTTAATACCTGGAGGTTGAGCGTTAAACTTGCCTGCTCCTGCTATTTGCTCGCCCAGAATATAATTACGGCATCACTGGAGTATATGTTTTATTGTGTGTGTGTGTGTGTGTGTGTGTGTGTGTGTGTGTTACGTGGACATTACATCCTTGTAGCCCCCCCACACACACATACACACTGTATATTTTCAGCCTTCTGGCTGCCAAGCTCTTTCAATAAACCGTTAATTATTATTATTATTATTATTATTATTATTACACACACACACACCTCCAGTTTTCCCTCCAGTCACCTCTACCACCACCGTCACCTCTACCACCACCGTCACCTCTACCGCCACCGTCACCTCTACCACCACCGTCACCTCTACCACCACCGTCACCTCTACCACCACCGTCACCTCTACCACCACGTCACCTACCACCGTACCACCACCGTCTCCTCTACCACCACCGTCACCTCTACCGCCACCGTCACCTCTACCGCCACCGTCACGTCTACCGCCACGTCGTCTACCACCACCGTCACCTCTACCACCACCGTCACCTCTACCACCACCGTCACCTCTACCACCACCGTCACCTCTACCACCACCGTCACCTCTACCACCACCGTCACCTCTGCCACCGTCACCTCTACCGCCACCGTCACCTCCTACCACCGTCACCTCTACCACCACCGTCACCTCTACCTACCACCGTCACCTCTACCGCCACCGTCACCTCTACCGCCACCGTCACCTCTACCGCCACCGTCACGTCTACCGCCACCGTCACGTCTACCACCACCGTCACCCTCTACCACCGTCACCTCTACCACCACCGTCACTTCTACTGCCACCGTCACCTCTGCCACGTCACCTCTACCACCACCGTCACCTACCACCGTCACCTCAACTACCACCGTCACCTCCTTACTCTACCTACCGTCACCTCTACCACCACCGTCACCTCTACCACCACCGTCACCTCTACCACCACCGTCACCTCTACCACCACCGTCACCTCTACCACCACCTTCACCTCTACTACCACCGTTACTTCTATAATCACCATCATCATCACCATACCATTTGCGATCACTACTACCATCACCTCTGCCATGATCACTACCATTACCATATCCACAACATCACCACCACACCACCACCATCACACACAAACCACCACCACTACCATCACCACACCACTACCATCACCACAACCACCACCACTACCATCACCACACCACTACCATCACCACACCCACCACCATCACACACAAACCACCACCACTACCATCACCACACCACTACCATCACCACACCCACCACCATCACACACAAACCACCACCACTACCATCACCACACCACTACCATCACCACACCACTACCATCACCACACCACTACCATCACACACAAACCACCACCACTACCATCACCACACCACTACCATCACCATCGTCCCTTCTGTGACTTGCTCTACCATGGTTATTGAAGTACAGTTGTCGGTATAAACAAGAGGTCGAGCTACGTGCGTTATTTTGGCCAAGCTGTGACCCGTAGTTCAGTGTACAGTGTTCATTGTTTACTATAGGCATCCGAAGCTTCACACACAAATATCCGAAGCTTCACGCACACACATATCCGAATCCTCACACACACACATATCCGAAGCTTCACACACACACATATCCGAAGCTTCACACACAAATATCCGAAGCTTCACACACAAATATCCGAAGCTTCACACACACACATATCCGAAGCTTCACACACAAATATCCGAAGCTTCACACACATAAACATCCGAGGCTTCACACACACACACACAGGGTTTTAAGGGGTTCAGTTTACTTGCATTAGGGAAATGTGTTTTTATCTATTCAAAACAGGTGAGGTTTTGTTCACTCGTGTGGGTCATTGTGGAGGTTTAAAGTTAGTCTCTCTCTCTCTCTCTCTCTCTCTCTCTCTCTCTCTCTCTCTCTCTCTCTCTCTCTCATACATACACACACACACACACACACACACACACATATACGAAACACACACAAAAAAACACGCGCGCACACACCTACAACACACACACACACACACACACACACACACTGGCTCTAAAAACAGTACCGTACTAAGCTCACGGTGAACCCCTGACGTTCACACTCGACGTTTTCCATCATTGGCTGGAGGATAAACTCAAATATTTTCCCCCAAGTATTAATTAAGACTAACCAATCTCTTTTTAGCCTTGACACCTCTCTCTCTCTCTCTCTCTCTCTCTCTCTCACATCGATCCCTGCCTCGACACACACTCCTCCCCTTCCCACCTTTCCCCTCCCTCCTTATCCCTCTCTCCCTCTCCCCATCCCTTCCCTCCCTCCCTGGACACACTTTTCCCACCTGGCCCCTCCCCTCTCTTCCCATCTCCCTTCCACCTCTTTCTTACTCTTCTTTCCCGTTCTCTCCCCCTCCCCACCCCTCCTTTCCCACCTCCTTACCCCCTCCCCTCCTATCCCCCTTCCCTCCCCTCTCCTCCCCTCCTATAACCGTACCCCTAAAAACACGACAAATTATATCTTTTCATTATTATCAGGCGCTATGCAGTCCTGACGTCACGTGCTCCCCTGACCTCCGCCTGGGTCCTCCTCTGTAATTACGAATACACAATGTGGAGAGTGAAGCATTGTGTGTATGATTACTTAGAAAAATCTTAAGTACTGAGTAGATAATTACTTAGAACCTGAATAATAAAGTACTGAATATGTGTATTTACTTAGAAATATTAATTATTGTATTGAATATATAATTACTTGAAAATAGACTAAAAATAGACTTTAGAGACGGAATGAACGGAGGTAAGAACAGTCCATTATTAGTCTGCATGTGACGGCACCGGGTGAAGTAACTCCTCCTGTCTAGGTTAATATAAAAGTCTTAACAGCAGACAGAGGTGTGTGTGTGTGTTGCCGCCACCACCCTCCCACCATGCGCCGCCAAACACTCAAGGGATGACGGTCGTGTACAAAAGGAATTGTTATGGTCGTCCACTGCATTGTAAATATTGTGTTACGATAATGTATTTTAGGAAAAAAAATCGACTATGTTTGGCGATGAGTTGCCAGAGGGCAGGGAGGAGGGGGGGTGTAGGTGTTAGGGTGTGGTGGAGGGGGTAGAGGGTGTGGTGGTGGTGGTGGTGGTGAAGGTATAGTGGTCAGGGTGAGGGGTATCTATCTATCTATCTCTATCTATCTATCTATCTATCTATGTATGTATCTATCTATCTCCACCTTTACCTTAGTGGTTCTAGGTAAACGCCTAGTCATTAATTGTCTTATATTTTCTTTCCAGGTAATGACGAGGACCGCTGCTTAGTCTTCCCCAGAGCTTGTTCTACTGAAGTAACGTCTTGTCTAAAGTTAGTAGAAATTTCTTATTTTTCATCGTATTATTCACCGTATTTCATTACTAAGGTTAAGAATATATTAATATGTTCGCCAATTGAGATGAAAACTTGAAAGAAAGAAAAATTTTCGCGCCATATTTTTAGTGTAAATCTCGTCTCGGGAGAAAAAAAAACCCGCGCGACCACAACTTTCTCTTCCTCGGCGTTGTGTTGCCTATTTGACGTCATCAGTCCCCCGCCTTCACACTTTTCATTAATTAAAAAAAACTGACAAACTTGTTTAGATTTTTTTTCAACCATTACATACGACAGTAATGAAAATAAAGAAATGTATTACGATTTAGAAATGATAACCCAAAGAGATAATATTTTAATGACCTCATAATTTATACGTATCCTTCGTGTGGTGAGAAACAAACGAGACTCACATTCCGTGTTCACTTGTTTACATTGACTATTAACAATGAAAGATGAATAAATGAATAAATACCAAACTAAGATGATTTTTGACATAGTATGATAGCGGGCACAATACTTTTCTTGGTTGATAAATGAACCAATATACGTAATTATGTAATAAATGATGATGTGATATATTTGTGGTAATGATTCGTTTTAAAGTATATTGTGGTGTGTGGCAGTCCCTTTTTTTCTCCATGGTTGTACGAGTTAAAGCCAAAAACCGGTTGTGTGTTTTTGTGTGTGTTGAATTGTTGCTGTGACGTGTTATGGCAAGTGTGTGTGTGTGTGTGTGTGTGTGTGAGAGAGACTCATTTTGCGCACCAATGGATCCCGTCTCTCCCTCACTTGCTTAATGGCGTCGTAATGGTATGTTGTGCACCTTTAAATCCTCCCTCCATTTACTACTGAATGGTGCAATAAAGCACTTTTGTTCACCAGTGGAGTTAATGGTTACGCATTCTCCCCACCATTACCTCTCTCTCTCTCTCTCTCTCTCTCTCTCTCTCTCTCTCTCTCTCTCTCAATGACGTCAGTAATGGTCTTCACACAGTAGTTCCCTCCGAGGCCCCATCACTCATTCCACATACCAGGCCCCTCGTTAATGGTCCGTGTACGTGAGGGCAGGATGTGACTCTCTGACCTTTAACCCTATCATGCCGGACCTCTACACGCACCTCTACTGTACATAGACCTCTACACGCACCTCTACTGTACATAGACCTCTACACGCACCTCTACATTGACCTCTACACGCACCTCTACATTGACCTCTACACGCACCTCTACATTGACCTCTACACGCACCTCTACATTGACCTCTACACGCACCTCTACATTGATCTTTACACGCACCTCTACATTGACCTCTACACCAGAGGTCGGGGAACAGGGGTAAATTACCCCAAATGGGGTAAATCTAAAAATTTTGGGGGTACTGCATGCGGTATGAGGGACACTTCCATCAGAGCCTCAGTTTACTCGAGTTTACTCCGCATTGTTAAAAAACGTTTTCTTTGGCATGGTGAGTGACGTCACTAAAGTTTCTAGAGGTCGTCAGATATCACGTTTGTTTCCATCTCATGGTGTAATTGTAAGTTACCCTTCCGTCGAGTGTAAACACATCTGACTGGATCCTAGATGGGTCATGTCAGTGGCTTTGTGGCTTTGGCCAAAGAGCAGAATCCAAAAATTGAGGTTTCCCACTGTATGATACATCGCCAGGCATTGGTTGTGAAGCAGTTGGAACCAGAACTGGAAGCTTTCATGATTGATGTGATCAAGATTGTCAATGCTGTGAAAGGGCATGCACTAAACACGCGGCTGTTTCGTGATTTATGTGAGGATGGGGTGGCTGAATATTCAGGCCTCCTTTTTCACACAGATGTGAGGTGGCTTTCACGTGGAAATGTCCTGAATAGAGTGTGGGCTCTCACGACCGAACTTGAAATGTTTCTGGTTGATCAAAAACATGCCCTTCCAAATAAGTTCAGAAACTCCACTTGGCTTGCATTTCTCACATATTTAGCTGACATTTTTGGGCATGTGAATGCACTGAACAAGGAATTGCAAGGAAAAAACATGAATGTCATTTTAGCATGAGAAAAAATTTCGGCATTTGGATCAGAGTTTCTGTACTGGAACCAGAAAGTGAATAAAAACAAGATCCAAAGCTAGCAGAGTTTTTGGAAGATTGTGAATATTTCAGTCTTGGTGACATCAAGGAGTCAGTTACAAGGCACCTGACCAAACTCAAACAGCGGTTCTCTGATTTCTTTCCAGTGCTTGATTCACATACTGCCAGTTAGGTTGTGAATCCCTTTAACTGTGAACTTGTAGATGTGCCTGAAGAGCCTGAAGGATTGGCAGAAGCGCTTCTTGAACTTCGCTCCAACAGTGAAGCACGCATGGAATTTCAGAACAAGGCAGATCTCTCGTCTTTTTGGATGTCAAAAGCTGCAAAGGCTTTTAAAATTGCACATTTGGAAGCGACAAAAATGCTGCTGCCTTTTGCAACAACCTACCTTTGTGAACAAGGATTTTTCTACCCTTGTGAACTTGAAAACAAAGTATAGAAATCGGTTGGACCCTGAAGACAGCATCCAAGTTGCTGTGACATCAAAAATCCCTGATTTTGATGCTGTTGTATCAAAAATGAAACAGCATAATTTTTCCAAAACCTAAAGTGAAGATAATTTGAATGAAATTCTTCAGTTCTCCAATCCTTTTTACTAATTTTGTTTGTGTGCTATTCTTATGCCAGAACGTGTGGCCTTTTTTATTTCTCCATGATAATGGATCCAATAAACATTTTTTGTATTTGAATTTTTTGTATATATATATATATATATATATATATATATATATATATATATATATATATATATATATATATATATATATATATATATATATATATATATATACACACCATATCCAACAATTTTAGGAGCAAATTGGCTTGTTTTGTTTACTGTACTAGTGTACTTTGACGTTTGGGGGTAATTTCATTTTACTCAAAAAAATTTTTGGGTAATACCCAAAAAAGTTCCCCGACCTTTGCTCTACACGAACCTCTTTAGTGACCCCAGTAGATAGATCACTTGACTTCTTGATCGCAATGGTATTTTATCGAATTCACTCAATACTTGTACACAAATTTCCCCAACGCGCCAATAAGTACACAAATTTCCTCAACGCGCCAATGATTGCAACAGTTCCCAACGCGCCAATAAAAACACAATTTCCCCAACGCACCAACATATATATAGAATTTTAGTGTTCTATCAATTTTGTTCAATTTTGTGTATAGGATTAAATATCAGTATGTTGTGTTCAGGGTATGAGATTGGGTTAGGTTAGGTTAGGTTAGGTTAGGATCGGATCGGATCCCTCTTATGCGTTCTGCTCGTCTCTAAGGACTCCCCTGGCGGCGTCCTTCGTGTCACTAGGAGTCCTGGATTCATTATCGGGATTTATGATGATCTCGTGAATTGGAACTGGTATTTATCTCTCTCTCTCTCTCTCTCTCTCTCTCTCTCTCTCTCTCTCTCTCTCTCTCTCTCTCTCTCTCCAAGTATCACATCATCCATTATTTAGTGTACAGGGGAAAGTGAGCTTCACTTGTCTATACACACAATCAAAGCGGAGTCATGTGAAGATTAGACACCCTAGCTTATTTCACCAAATGATTAGAAACCCTTATCTTATTTCACCTGATGATTAGACACCATAAGGCGACCTGACGGAATTAGGTTAGTTTAAAGTAAGGATGCTTAATCATCAGGTGAAATAAGGTAGGGTGTCTAATCTTCAGGTGAAATAAGGTAGGGTGTCTAATCATCAGGTAAAATAAGTTGGGGGTGTCTAATCATCAGGTAAAATACGGTAAGGTGTCTAATCTTCAGGTAAAAAAAGTTGGGGTGTCTAATCTTCAGGTGATTCATTTTATTGGCAAGATACGAAGGTCTTGTGTGAGTTAACTGCAAGATGATGACAGGAGATAATTAATTACTAAGGTCAGGTGTTTCTGTGTGTGTGTGTGTGGAGAACCAAGGTGTGAAACGTGTCTTAATTGAGAGTGAATCGAGTGAGTTTTGTCAGGTGGTGTTGGTTTGGTGGTGGTTAGGTGATGGTGGTGGAGTAGGTGATGGTGGTGGGTAGGTGATGGTGGTATTGGTTAGGTGGTGGTTAGGTGATGGTGGTGGGTAGGTGATGGTGATGGGTAGGTGATGGTGGTGGGTAGGTGATGGTGGTGGGTAGGTGATGGTGGTGGGTAGGTGATGGTGGTATTGGTTAGGTGGTGGTTAGGTGATGGTGGTGGGTGGGTGATGGTGGTGATTAGGTGATGGTGGTGGGTAGGTGATGGTGGTGGGTAGGTGATGGTGGTGGGTGGTGATGGTGGTGGGTGGGTGATGGTGGTGGGTAGGTGATGGGTGGTGGTGGTTAGGTGATGGTGGTGGTGGGTGATGGTGGTGGGTGGGTGATGGTGGTGGGTAGGTGATGGTGGTGGGTAGGTGATGGTGGTGGGTAGGTGATGGTGGTGGGTAGGTGGTGGTGATAGGTGGGTGATGGTGATGGGTAGGTGGTAGTGGTGGGTGGGTGATGGTGGTGGGTAGGTGATGGTGGTGGGTAGGTGATGGTGGTGGATAGGTGATGGTGGTGGGTAGGTGATGGTGATGGGTAGGTGGTAGTAGTAGTGGCTAGATGCGAGGGTTGAGACGAGACATAAGAGGAAGAGGAGGAAGTGAAGAAGAGAAGGGTGAAGAATGAAGAGGAGAAGAAGTGATAGAAAAGGGAGAGGAGAAGGAGTAAAGAGGCAAGAGAAAGGAGGAGAGGAAGTAGATATTATAACATTAATTATACATTATTAGGTCATCTATCAAAGTGACTAATTCATATTAAAGTAATTTGAAGGAGACATGAGAAGGAAAGGGAGAAGTGAAGGAGGGAAGAAAGGAGGTCTAAGGAGAGGAATGGTGCAATGGAAGGGGTAAATGGGAAGGAGGGAAGGAGAGGAGGGAAGGGAAGGTACAGCTTTAAGCTTCTTCATTACCAGGACAGAAAAAATGCTTAAGTCACCCCTCTTAGCCGGTAATGGTGGGAGGGTCATAACTCACTCTCTTGACCATCCTTCCATTTTCTTTAACAATTTTTCATATCACGTTGCCTCTTCCACCACACCACAAACCCCCTGCCACACCAACCACACCACAACCCCCCCCCCCTACCACACCAGCTGACCTCATAGTTGGGGGCTGGCATCTGACCTCAGGATAGGTTGGGTGGTGAAGGTAGAGGCTGTCCATCAGTTTGGGAGGCCACTTACCTGTCCCGTTCAGATCATTAACAATCAATAATGTATCGACTTATTCTTCTTAGACCCGCGCTGCAGTGACCCGAGAGAGGGAGGGAGGGAGAGGTGGCGTGCAGTTCCAAGATGAATGATATTATTTGTTGTCAATACCTGGCTGTGTTGATACGGGTGGTAGTGCTCGTGGTGAGGGAAATGTTGGTGGTCATGTTTGTGGTAAGAGAAATGGTGGTTGTGGTGGAGGTGGTGGTAATGTGGTGTTGGTGGTGGTGGTGGTATTGATGGTGGTGGTATTGGTGGTGGTGGTGGTGTTGTTGGTGGTGGTGTTGGTATTGGTGGTGGTATTGGTGGTGGATGAACACTGTTGGCGTTGTTGGAAGAGGCACCAGGATTAGCCCTGGAGGACTGTGTGAACTCTGGTGATAATTATGGTGAGGTGTACATTGGTTCATGCTTTATTGTGTGTGTGTGTGTGTGTGTGTGTAGTCATATTAACATTAAAGCAGAGTTACAACATCACAATGGACAACAACAACAACTGCAAGACACACCTACACCACCTTGTTACTGTGTCCCGTGGCATTGCACCGCACACATTGGTGTTGCGTCATCACACACACACACACACACACACACACACTTATTACATCTGACCAGGAAATATATCCACTGCTAGCCTTGTATCCCAGATGAAATTTCTTATCTAAAAAAAAATCGAATATCAGAAAGTGTGAAATGAAAGACTTTACAGAGAGTCAACTTAAGAAAAATGACCCTGACAACATAAGCATCTAAACATTTTTTTTTTTTTTCACACATTTATATAATTTCTTGTTGGCTGTTTGCTGGATGGTGACGTGCACTAACGACCGTCGTGCTGTTTAAACAATTCCTTTCAAAGTCGGTGAGACGGATAACGAGGCCGAGTTTTTCTTAAGATATAAAACCAACGTCGAGCCAAAATGTGTGTCTACGTTCACTAAGTTTTTGTACGTCTAATATTCCGTAGTACAAAAATAACGAAGGGAAGGAATCAAGGAGGGAGGGAGGGAGGGAAATAGAGAATGGAGAAGGATGGATGGATGGAGACAAAGAAGAAAGAAATAAGGGAGACAAAGAAGTAACGGAAGAATTGAAAAATAATTAAAGGAAGGAGAAGGAAGAAACGACAAAATGAGGGATGGGGAGAGAAAGAGAAGGAAAGAAGGAGGGGGGGGGAAGATGTAAAGGAAAGAGAAAGGTGGGGGGAGGCAAAGAAGGGAGGAGGGAGAGAATAAAGGAAGGAGGAAGGGAAAAGAAAGTAAAGGAAGGAGGGAGAGAAAGGGAGTAGGAAGGGAGGGAGAAAAAAGTAAAGAAGGAAGGAGGAAGGAAGGAGTGAAAGAAAGACGGAAGGAAGGGGGAGAAAAGGAAAGAAGGAAGGAGTAGAGAGAGAGAGAGAGAGTAACGTAATCACTACTATGTAATTTCACCTCCTCTGGGACTCATAAACATAGTGTAGTTTTTAAAGAACCTTCCTTTAGCTGGACTGGCCATTAGAGTAGCACAGATACGTATAGTTTTGATGTGGGCCATATAGACGAGAAGTGGGCCATATAGACGAGAAGTGGGCCATATAGACGAGAAGTGGGCCATATAGACGAGAAGTGGGCCACATAGACGAGAGGTGGGCCACATAGACGAGAGGTGGGCCACATAGACGAGAAGTGGGCCATATAGACGAGAAGTGGGCCACATAGACGAGAAGTGGGCCATATAGACGAGAAGTGGGCCACATAGACGAGAAGTGGGCCATATAGACGAGAGTGGGCCCATATAGACGAGAGTGGGCCACATAGACGACATATGGAGCCATATAGAGAGGTGGGCCATATAGACGAGACGAGAGGTGGGCCATATAGACGCCATATAGACGAGGTGGGTCACATAGACGAGAGGTGGGTCACATAGACTATAGACGAGAAGTGGGCGACGAATGGGCCATATAGACCCATATAGACGAGAGGTGGGCCATATAGACGAGAGGTGGGCCATATAGACGAGAGGTGGGCCATATAGACGAGAAGTGGGCCACATATAGACGAAGGTGGGCCACATAGAGAGAAGTGGGCCATATAGACGAAGTGGGCCATATAGACGAGAAGTGGGCCATATAGACGAAGTGGGCCACATATAGACGAGAAGTGGGCCACATAGACGATAAATGGGCCATATAGACGAAGTGGGCCATATAGACGAGAAGTGGGCCATATAGCCATACGAGAA